TGCTCATTCAGTAAATATCTCCAAACCTTGTCAGTCTAATTAGAGGTTTAGCGACACAATAATGCATGCAAATAATCAATATAAGCAGTCGAGCAAATCTCCTGCAAACTGAAAACATCAATGTCGAATTTACCCCAACACTGACTAAGGTTCAAGCCATTATCATAGACATGAGTTGGGAGTGTACTCCCCCTGGTTACAACTTATGTTCTCCCTGATAATCACATGAGCATCACTCACTATTAATCATCTTGTAAAAACTTATTTAGCTAAATACATTTTGCAGCACCACATCACTTCGTAATATGACACAGGTCTAACTGATTTTAATAACTTGTAACCACTATATCTCAATTAAATCGTGTTCCGCCTTATGATAAACTGCATACTTGCGACTAACTTGTATGTCCAATCAGCCGGCAAGTATAAATACAAGTAAATAGTCTGCCACAGATCAGAACATTGAGTCTAGAGCATGTCTCTTACGAATACGCTCATGTTTAACGATTTGTTCCTTGCTATCTGTCCTTTATTCATATAATCACCACTCACGTATTTAAATTTTATTTTGGTAACCATTCATGTGTATTAGTAGTATTACCAAATTCTATCACGATCAAGTAAAAATGAGGTTGAGAAAATCTCCCCGTAACTAAATAAACCGTATCAAACTAACTGGAACACTAGTTGGAATTCTTCTCCACGGTATACTTTTGTTCCTTCAGTTAGCCTACTAATACTGATACAATTGGAATTCAACTCATATGGACAACTTACCGGCATAATCGTTATTTGATTTCATAATTTAAACCAAAACTAATACCAATATTAACATTTCTACAATATTCATTATTTTAATATTTCTAAACACAAAATAATTACTGCCTATAAGTTAAGTTATTAACACACATCGTTTTATTATTATTATTATTATTATTGTAACCCCATTTTTTATAGCTTAAATAATCTTCACCCAGATTTTCATTTCAAGCGTTTTAAACATGATGGCAGATATTTTAAAATTGTTACATGTATTTCCCGACCAGATGCTGCCGCTTTCTTTTTGATTTATCTTTCAGCTTACCAATACCCGGAGGATTCTTATTATCCTTGGTAACCTCCGGCGCGCGACGATCCCATCCAATTTGGTATCGAACCAACATCACGTTGATTCTGGTGGGAGAGTAGTGTAGTGGCATTGGACAATAGCCACACAATCCACAAAGCTGTGAACACGAGACTACTCAGAAAATAGATATTCAATATTTAACGCGGAGAAATACCTAACAATGGAGAAGGCGCGAACAAGGAATTGAATGGACTGGAGTTGATCGAGTGGCATGGCTCGTCCATGCAAACGTGGTCCATCTCAGTGTTACTTTATATCTTCTATTCATATTAAATATATTGTTCTTTCTCTAGCCTAACCTTGTTCCTCATCATGTATTGGTAATTGATACGATACAGTGAGTTGGTGTAGTCGATGGTGTGACTTCCACGTAAGATCTTATAGATTAGGCAGTTATATCATGACAAATCGACAAGTTTAGGATTAGGTTTATTATTAGAGCAGTACTAATATCATAGTAGACCATAATTCTACAGTACTGCCTTTAACCACAGGCAGGAAACACCAAAACATTTCAGAAATCTTAGTTAGCCGCAGAACAGAATGTTAAAGACAATAACTGGAGTGCACACATGCGAGAAAATTATGTGAGCATGCGTTCTGGCAGCCACTTCGGACTGGGAGTATACTTAACCTTAGTTCGTAATTGTGGCAGTTAACCTGGCGACCAGTCAGAATGTAGCGGAATTTATCATTTCAACCCTCTTTGTAAGCGATTGTCATCGGCTATCCTAGTTCTGTGATTCGTGCCAGCGTTTTCGTGTCGCTGCAACCTTTATTCCGGTAGTTTACTGAAATTCCGTCATTTACGTTGTTCTCTAAATGTTAGCGCTTATGATTTCGAATCAATCTGGTTTTCTTGTTTTTTGCTAATACTTTGGTCAGCTGACCTGTTTATTCTTCCCGTCACACGATTGTGCTCTATGTGACAAAATAGTGATGCTTTTTGTTTCGAATAATCTCTTTGTAGATACCAAATGCGAGGGCAAGCATTTTTGGTTGGAAAAAATGTTGGTGTCGCCTGAGATTGTTTAGCTTTCCATATATTCCCCCCTAAATATTAATAATGGGGTAGTAGAGAACTATGATAGTAAACGGTTTGCGTTTTGTCATTCTATTCAGTATTATGGATAACCCTCTTCTGTCAAGGAGTCGAACCAGTACTGAGTGTCTAGCAATGGATACCAGTGGTATATTTAGAAGGACCACTATACCCATGTGTCTGACAATCTGAGACCAAGTCAGAAATGCTGTTGGTCTATTGCTGAAGGCTTTTATTGAGTGTAAAGCATCATTAGACCACTTGGGCAAATTACGAGATGCGTGAACGTAAGCTTAACAATGAAAAGCCGGAAATCCGCTAACCGTATATGTTGTATGTATTTTGTTTGGGCTGAAGTCGGAAGCCAGACTGCCAGGATCATAAAGTAAAAGGGTAAATAACTGTCATCATGCTAGCGTCTTCATGAATCAAAGCTTACCGGTTGCATCGCCATGTTTTGTTTGAGGAATAATCTCAACCGGGACACATAAGATGATGCAGGAACAGTCTTACATTAAAAGGCATCTGACAAACGGTGTGTCGTTTATGAGATTCAGTAAACGTCAGTCAGAAGTTGTTATATCGTGTGATTCTGGGCAGATTAGGCCGAAAGTCTGTTATAATTATATTCAACAGCCTGGAGATGTCATCTCTTCTACGCTCAAACCAATTTTCGGATAACGTCGTTGCAGCTTCAGTGGTCAGTACTTCCAGGATCACTGTTGGTTACAATAACACTCACCTTAATACCGAAACTATTTCTCTCATAGCAAGTCCACTTCTTATTTCCGAACTACTAATGTATTCCAATGTGCTTGCATCTCGTTTTACGGAAAATTATCCAAGAAGATTTTCTGTACAATAAATTTAAATTGTCTGTAGTTAAACAGACACTTAATGTTGATTCACTGCCAATTGCACTTAATCAAGACGTAGAACACTACTCTACTAAGACTTCAGAATATCATAGTGTTCGTCTCGTAATTTCAACGCTTGTGCACATTAACGGGAATAAGAAATAAAATTGCTCTGGTTTCTAAACTTATATGCTTCAGTACCTCATTCAAATACCAAGTAGGCTAAACTAAAGAGGTATCGTGATTATCCTTTAATCTGAACTGATATGTTACTTAGTAGCTGACTTTAGATATTTAAGCATATATACTTTGAAATTAAACTATAAGCTAACGAGACTTACCTAAAAACGTTGAGTTTCTTACCACTGCCACTTCATGGTATTCGGAAACAGAGGGCCTGCCAACATTTCGGCCTCTCAAGGTCGCGTAGACTAAAGTGAGGCGATTTTAAAAGTAAGGTGTCTGAGTGCTTGGCTAGTCACGGGTCTTACCTTTATCATTAAGAATTATATTTTTTGACCAGATTAAATCATTTTCAATCACTGGGCTTAAGAATTTGAATTAAGTGAAACATGTTTCGTTTTTGTGGCGCCGTAATAAAAAGGTTTAGGGCAACCTGACAAAACCCCACAATTTCCCCTGATCTGAGATTTTTCGTCGAAATCTCAACTTGCTTTGTGGAAATCCCCAAAACTCGAAGAAAGTTTGTGGCTTTGTCTGATGTTGGAGAATACCATAAATTTTCATCCGACTTCATAGATAACCCAAAAATTCCCTTGAAAGCCCTCAGATTTTGAAGATAGGGTTTTCGGCATCCTTGTTTCTATCATGAATTAATGTCAGCTATACTGCAAACGTACTTAACAGTAATAAAAATGAGGGAGTATCATATGGCAAATCGTTGCTTTCTCCTTGCTCTCGTTCGACTAGGCAACGATTTCGAGGTCGTTCGGCGTAATAGTTCACTTCTATCCTTGCGTTCATTCAGTCTTCATAGTGAATCATTACTCTTCGTTCTTAGTGTTAGTATTTTCGAACCTTACCCCTGTCCATCTTCTAGCTACTGCTAACAGCACTTTTTATCACTGGTCTAATATTCCTCTACTTTTTTATAACACTCAACTTTTTCATCAGAAGTTGTCATATATTCTCTTCAAACACAAGTCTAGATGCTTGTAAAATGTTGCCACTTAAGACTATTCTGTCAACAAATCAATCAACTTCAGTCGGCCTGATATACAGTGAGAATGTTAAAGTTTGATGCTTGGACGCAAATAATTTGTTTTGGGAATCTTATGATGCTGTTTCGTTTCGCTAGATTATGTGACTGAAAGTCGTGCGCTTGTTGCTAGTTGGAAAGTGTTCCTTTGAACTTGTGTCGATATTCCATTTGATTCAGCTGCGTGTATTAAGTATCCTGATGGTTTGGAAATTCGTCAGCATAACATCTACACATTTATTATCACTGTTAAACCAGCCTTGTGTGCTTCCGTAGTTTATACATGAACTGTTTGTTTTGTTTCTTCCTGATTACTCTCTTCAATATTATTATTAATTGCCACATCATATGTCCCAAGTTTTAACTGTTTTCTATTTTGTAGTTGTTATTTAAGAAATCTCAAATTTGAATGACTAGTGATGAAGGGTTGCAGCGTCAGCTGCTTCAAGAATTGCAAAAACAACGATTCCAACAATTGGGTCATCAGTTAACTTCAATCTGTTGGGATAAATGTGTTACGAAATTAAGTAATTCACTTGACTCTAGAACTGAGAGTTGTATAGTGAATTGTGTAGAACGTTACATTGATGTTTCCGGTGCACTTACTCGTCGTCAGAATGAAACACGTTTAGGATTTATGGATGTACAACCAAATGATTAGTTAATAAAAATACATCGATTGCAAATTTCTTTCTTCTCGATTCAAACCTTTGATTTTTTCCAAAATAATTGATTGACCTGACTTATATTTCAGATGGTTAATTTCCCCTCAATACGGTAAGATGTCAATAAAGTGTATGTAATGTTTTGTTTGTTACTTTCAGTCTGCTTAAATGCACTGTTGGATCTGCATTTTGTTCAGTAGGTCTTACTTTCAAATAAAATAAATACTGAAAAATAATGCTAATTTAAATAACCAGGTGCCGTTTTCACGTTTATTATCAAATACAACTACTTATCCGGAGTACGGAATTACAAATATTCAAGATGATAGTGATTTTGACAAACGGGTATTAAATAATTCCGCACCGGTCATTGTTGACTTTCATGCTAAATGGTGAGTAATTATTGTGTAACTTATACAGAGTTGAATACTAATTTTCTGTTGATATCCCAAAAGATACTGGTTGAAAGCTGTGTATCGCTTCTCCTCATGTGTTTCGACTGACTAAATTTGATTGTTCAATATTAAGAATTTTTAGTATGAGCGTGTGTGCTATCAACTAGATCACAAATTATAGTTCTGAAATATGACTTCATTTTTAAGGAAAATCATTTTAGGGTTGTATCGTTCTCACTTGTAGACTCGAAATCTTGTGAATACTTTGGTTTTGCGATTGCTTTGAATCATATGGGTGCTGTTTATGACATTTAGTGTCTTTATCTACCCACAATTACATGATATAATGTATCGATTTTGAGTTTTTGTGGTATATGTTTTAAGTTCTTATGACGAAGTGGTTTTTGAGAAGCAGTGGATGCTCATACTTTAGGTACTGACTAGTAGTGGAGTCTAGCAAACTGAGACTCAATCCCAATGCCCGTCTCCTTAAATACCAGTGGTTCATTTATTCGAGTATTAAATTACATTAAACATGTAGATTGTTTTAATGTGAACACCATTAATGTAATGTATCAGGGACATCCGGTTAACGAGCCATGAACATGCCGAAGTGTGCGACTTGAATCACACTGCTAGTCACTGGGATATATATATATATATATATATATATATATATATATATATATATATATATATGGGCAGTATAGTATTAATATACTAGTCAAACCTTACACGGGCTATGATTTACCTATTGAAACACTTGTCATCCAGTTTCATGACAATAAAAGCTCCCTTGGTTGGTAGCATAAAATTGTTTACGTAATATAGCAAAAAACGTATTGCTTGACGCAACATAACACCAAAAAATAACTCATAATAAATAAGACTTATAAAGCAGTACCTTAATGAAATCAGATGTCTAGAATTCGTTCAAGGTAAAGTTGAATAGTGACTAAATAAGGAGATAATATAATTGAACATATATTTACCAAATGAATGGATCAGAGATTTGGTGTAGGATATCAAGTGTGTATTAGTGAGTTGCGAACTTTTATCGACTAATGTAATTAGGATATGTGCTACTCATACACTTAATTACCTTCTATCTTGATGTTCAATGATAGTTATCATAAAAATAGAGTGAAACAAGTCTAAGTATGGTCAATAATAAATATGTATATATTTTTGTTATACCTTAGTGAGTAGAAAAATGGTATTTATGACATTTTGTGATTTGATCTAAGCCACTTCTTCAGAGTAAGTAAATGACCGGATCAAGTCACGAAACATCATGAATAGACTTTCCTACTCATCGGGATATAACAAAACAAAGTATAATTATTGTCAACTTTCTACTTGGTGTTCAATTTATTTGAAACTACCAGGTCCAACGTTGGCATTAATACCTAAAATGTATGGTCTGTTATAATCCTAACATGACTTCGTGAAACCATTTATGGTTGGGTCGAACTGTTATGACGGTTGGTGTCCAAAATCTTATGTTAATACATGATATGCTACGCGCAAACCCCCACCTACTTGAGTATGAACACAAGACTAGACGAGAAAGTATATTGGGCTGCCGCATAAAATGCATATATATATATATATATATATATATAGACATCTCTACGTCTTAGAAAATCAGTCCATTTCTTAGCCAATAATATGCACTTGTCCTTCAGATCACTTCTGATTTGCTTATCATATATCGAAAAGCGGTCCATATAATAATCGTAGTTCCTGATCACGGAGTTTATGTAACATGGCTTAAAATCAATCTCGGTAGTGCTGATACGATTTTTTCCTATCAACTATTTCCCTTAGTTTCAATCTTGTTTCAAATATTTCGATACCCTGTTTCATTCGTTGTTTTCAAATTATACTTCTAATGTTTTCACTTTTTACTATTCATTCATCCGACTTGTTTAATTTTTGTCCTACTAATTTTCTGTCTCTGTGCTAATGTAAAATTTCACCATTTGTAATACGTCCTAATTTGATATGATAGGTTAGATTTCGTTAGAGATTTATATCAACTATAAAACACTGAAAGCCAGAGAGTATTGAGTAAGTGTTTCCTATGTTTTGGAGGAGGGTTTTAGTGATTCGATGAAACAAATTTTTGGTCGTTAAAATCACTCTGATCAATGGACGGTAAGGAATGATAAAAAGTGTGGTTGGGTGATGGCTGCTCACCAGGCTGTATTCTTGACGTAATCCCTCAAATGATTCAAAATCACAGACAAGATCATTATCCAGATCAATATTTTTCTCATGTAGCAAAATAACGTGCTTATGTACAAAATATGAACACAAAATAAACATGATAAAATGTAGACGATTGAAGAAAGTCAGTTTGTAGGTCATCCACTTTCCAATCAATTGCGATATGACTTACATTTAATACTGACCAATCTTGTCATCGTCTTATTGTTGAACTACTCAAGAATGTGCACTCCTATATGTCCTGATATGATCAAGGTTAGAGGGTCAGCTTTCCCCCTAGAATTACTTTCACACAGGAATGGGTTTGTATCCTCTGCTAAGGAAGTCATATTTGCCACCTTGGTGCAGCTGCACTGTTTTTGGGGAAAAGAACGAAAAGCGAACATCTGGTACTTAAACCGTGTTAGTGAATACGGACGATGCATCTATAGCAGTTGGAAAACTCTTATTCAAAACCAGTGATGTACTTAGGATCTACGATCTTGTGTAAACAAATGGTGTGTAGACCTATCCTGGTCACCGACTGCCATGGAACTACATCTGACGTTGCTCGTTGTGGATTATAATTCTATGTCAGAAGCTGGGAGGTGGCTACCTAAAATAACCACTTGCTTCATTATGGGTGTCCTGGCAATATCCCAACCCACACACAATTATGTTAGTAAACAGTTATGAATATACTTCTCTACTCGTTCGACTTAGCTAAACCAAACACTCGTCCTAAAAATTTAGTCCAATGCGGTCGATATCAGTCTAATTTCAATTAAAGTCTCCATAAATCACAGCAACGGAACAAGTTGTATTGGTAAAATTCCAGAGATTTATTGAGTAATGAATATCAGAGTTATTCTATGTGAAAGGTGTACTTTATGGTGGTTCGATTTGTCATATTTGTGAGTTTTTATTCTAACTACTTAAAGAACTAGCTTTGTTTGTGTTAGATAACCCTACGTATAAATCCTTTGTCTTTATTTGTCTCTTTTAAATCTAGGTGTGGACCTTGTAAAATTTTAGGTCCAAGGTTGGAAAATATAATGAAATCGTATATGAATTCTGTGCTACTCGCTAAAGTTGATGTCGATCAGTTAGATACTGTTGCCGAAAAATATAAGGTAAAATAGTTCTAACATTTAGGCTATTATTTATTTAATTTTTTGTTGTTTAGCATTTCAATTAATATGATACTGAGTAAATTTTAGACGTCTATATTGTTTTCTAATGAATCAAATGTCGGTTGTCTGAAGTAGCATGAAAACATGTGACGGTGACTTTATTGGTTACTGTATTCGACTTTCAATCATACTAGGTAATATGCTGGAATTCCACTCCACCTACTTCAGTTTGGGCAGCCTGATAAGATCATCAGCCTTCACAATTAATAGGTGGCTAAAAGCCCAGCATATGAATCTGTACCTGGTAAGCCGATTGCAACATAAAATATTATCATTAATTATGAATCGATTCTGAGGGTCTTGAGTTCTGTTTCATGTCAGGGTTATAAGTGTATGCATTTGTAAACAGTTTCCATCTATGAAAAAACAACTGTCCATTGCTCCCTGATGTACAATGGTTGTGTAGTTGAAGTTTATCTTTGATCGTTTAATACTATGTGCGAATGATTTCAATTGATATAACTTAATGTCATCACCAGTAGCAGGTGTGTAAAAATACACTCCGTTCAACTGATAGATGATGGCTACAAGTTCTTGTATATCAAACTTGTACATGATTAATGCATTACACAGCATCTGTCTATCGAATCATTGATTATTTCTTTCTTGTTTATTGTTGTTTAGATTAAAGTTGTTCCAACTGTGATTTCCATCAAAAATGGCAAAGAAATTGAACGTTTTGAAGGAGCCAAAGAAGAGGAATTCATTAGGCGTAAAATAGAATATGTATTAGCGCATAATGGTTAGACGCGACAATTCAATATAATAACGTCTGAATTGATAATTTTCTTCAACTAATCAACCAATTAATAGATTTCCTATTGTTCCCTTGTTATTAAATATTTTAGGATGTTTTATGTGTGCATCTCTTAAAATGTATGATTGTTATATATGAAACTGGTTGCATTAAGTTTAAGTGTAACTATACTTGATCACTATTGTGTGCTTTTTGTTTCCTGTAAGTGAATGATATCTTCAAACTAGTCATAGTTTAATGAATGAAAAATCATTGAAATAATCGTGTTTAGTTGCGACTGTTTATGGAATTCAAAGGTGTGGGTTATGCTTATTTGGGATTCGTCAGTTAAATGTACGTGTCTTTCTGGAACTGCAGAGTAAGTAAGTAGTCCTGCGTTTAGGCGGATGGTTCTAGGTAGAGATGGTAATTTGGTTGATGAGATCAAATTCTTACTGACTGTGGTAGTCGAGATATATGCTACACATTTCGAGCTGACAAAATGCTATGCAAGCCAATATTGGGATAGAATAAAATAATAATAAGGCTGACCAAACCAAAATATAACGTCAATTATTGTTTGTTGAACTGAACTGTTTCCAAATGGCGGATACAATTCACCGTCGATATCGGTGAAATCATCGTGTTGTGTGCGATATTTGTCAGTTTTTACAATCAATTACTATAAAGGAGTTGTATTCACCCTTTATTATTATTTAGCTTTTGAGTTTTCATCATGTTATGCGCTTCCTAATCTTCAATCTCAAAGCCAAATTTTGTTTACTAATGATACCATTAATTTAGCGATCTCTTGTTATACTTACCAATTTTAAAACTACGAAAGAAATCCGTTGTGTCATTAAGCAAAAGACGGTTCAGTGAAGGAAATTTCTTTTTTGACATCACTTACTAATCCTGCGGTCTTGCATTTTTAGTTAAGCAAATTATATCAGTCCACAGAAAAATATTACCATTAGTAAAGTTATAAAAAATCTGAGTATCAATTAAAGTTATATGATAGGGTAGCGCGAATCAAAATTAAGCATAAAATAGGTGTGGAAAATGTTATTCTCTTCCTTCTATTCTTCAGGTGAATAAATGTGTCAGAAACAGCTTACAGCGTATGAAGGGAGTGTTAGGACCATGGTAAAAGAAGCGATTAGAAATACCTCTCTTGAACACAAAAACAAGGGTCGAATTAATAAATTGCCAGTCTCCGTGTTAGGGGTATTTGTTATCCAACTCTTGATAGAATCAGTTCATCTTTATGAATGATTCTGAATAAAGATTCCGGTGAAGGGCGATGAGTGGAATCGGTCAGTGATCTAAAGATGAGAATGTTGACTGATTTGGATTGATTGGCGGGCGTAAAGTATACGGAGAAACCAGTCAGGATTTCTTCGGAAGTTCATTCTTGCGTAGTGGATAGTATTAGTTTGTGATAAAAACCTCAATAATTCATTTATAAGGCTCGTTATTCGTGTTAAATCTGTTTGTCAATAATCCAAGTCTAGCGGCAAGCACTTAACTCCTAATCTGGCATTCGTTGGAATAGAAGTTTAACTTCAGTCAGTTCCAGATATTGGGCGGTTATTTTCCGATGTCATTGCTGGGTGACTGTCTCACCCCTGATAATGTTGAGCTCCACCGGTCACAGCTTCTCGCTAGCACTTCGTGGATCGCCTCTTGAAATTAGTCACTGATGAGCCCTTGGTTATAAATGGTCTAGGGGGTTTGTAGAAGATTCTGAATTTCATAGTTAACACCACTGTCCTGGGTTCCATCCCAGACAGAATTGTGGATCTACACTCCTGGGGAGTCCTGTACTAGGAAGAAACATGTTCGGTGTTTCCTATTTTTAAATAGTGGTCTAATTAATATCAATCCGTGATGTGAACTATGAAACTCATTATTTATTAGTTATCTTTATCTTGTTCACTTCTGTTAATTAATTTCCCTATCTTTGTCTACCAAATAGACGCGCTGGATACACTGAACACTGTTTATGTTTCTGAAATGCATTGACTACTTTGACAATATACATGTTTCTAATTAGTTGTCGTTGAATTGGTTGATATACAGTTGAATTAACCCAAATAAAGTTCACTTAATCTGGTGTTTCAATTAAGAAAATATTCTGTACGACCTTGGGTCTTCCACTGTAGTCGGCTGGCAGGAAGGAAGAAGATGAAGGCATTCTCATTCATTGTATTGAAGTTCAGGTTGCTAAAAATAAACTTATTGTAAGAACCTTGCAACTGTTGACAGGGATGACATTTTCCGGGAAATCTTTTAAAGATGATGATCTCTTTTGCTAACAATCACAAAATCAGCCAAATATTTCTTCTATTTCTCAAACTGATTCTGTTTGACTTACTGGTTGTCTTTTGAAAACACATTTCGTACTCTAGGTTATTTATCAATCTACAAGTTATTTAGATATTCAGTGAACACAGAACAAAATTCATGTTACTGTAAATACTTGTAAGTTTTACATATTTCAGACTAATAGCCAGTGGTTTATTTGGTGAAATTATGTTATACTAAAAATAAGGGTTTGCTACGAAGAATATAGGAAATATGGGACTTGATTAACTATTCATTGGTGAGTTTTTCTATATTGTTAATACAATCCTCGTTGTAAGCCATGTTATTACAATCCTGAGTGATTTATCCCATTTTTTGGACAGACTTTACTAGTTCAGGCAACATGTAACCGACGTGTCATTTTTACCTTCCGGATAACTACTCTCCTCATAGGAAATTGTAATCTTCAGTACATATATCGGCGAGACTCTAATTTAGGGACGAGCCAATCAGAAGCTTTTGAGCAATTTCAATTACCAGTCAATCAGAAGACAGTATAAAGTAAAAATATATAATAAGAAAGTAATGAATTACAGTGGATATCCTTCTTTTACATGATTTAAAAACTTGTTAAGGTTTGATAAAGGTTCAGAGGTTCTGAATTCATAATACGGTATAGAAACTTGTCCATACGGTTAGGTTAGGGTTGTAGCCTCTCAATAAACACCTCTAAAATCCGTTGTAAATCGATCGTATGTTAGCATCAAGTGTTGAACTTGGCTCCATGAACTTGAAATTGCTCAAATGCTTCTGATTGGCTCGTCCCTAAATTGTAATCTCGCCACCCTAACCCTATGGACAAGTTTCTATACCGTATACATTATGAATTCAGAACCTCTGAACCTTCATCAAACCTTAACAAGTTTTTAAATCATGTAAAAGAAGATTATCCACTGTAATTCATTACTTTCTTATAATATGTTTTCACCTTATACTAACTGTCTTCTGATTGGTTAATAATTGTCAAGGTAATTTAAGATTCGTTCAAAGGTCGTCCCTAAATTAGAGTCTCGCCTATTTGTTAATGCCCGTCACCTTCTTGGGACTATCTTGAGTTATATTAACACTTGTAATGAGAAATATTCTGATTACCCACCTCTGCCTCTCTCTCCTCTTTTTCCTCCTGCTAAAATGTATATGTGGATTATAAACATCCGAAACACTCTCATTTGACTTTCGATATACCGTTCTAAACGCGTTAAGTCGAAAAAGTATTTACAGAGTAAGTAGGATCTGTATTTCGTCTACATCATTAACTATTCTATCTCGCTGGTGTCAGACCATGTGGACTGAAGTCTTTTAACACGATAATTTTTACCATATCTTTTGTTGTTCATAGATTACGGCCAGTTATCCATAAATTTATACAAGTAAGCTTTCTACCAAAGAATTTCCTTGTTATCTACTTATTAAGATCCATAATTTCATGTTAATCGTGATCGGTTATTTCACTTATAAGTCTGAATAGTATATGGTATAATTGTTTTTTACCGAAAAACTTCCAGGACTCATGAAATGACCTTGAGAAATAAATAACCTATTTTTAGCTAACAAATGAAAGTGTTTTAAGTGGAAAATTTATTCTATGAAATCCCCCATTACACTTGAGAATTCTGATTTGGATTAGAAATCAGAGTTACCGTTAGGTATTTGATTCGGGAGTTATGGTTATGAATCAAGTGGAAGAATGTTTTGTAGCAATATAGATGAATACTTATTTAGTTATTTCTTTCGGAAATCCATAAATTCTGATCCTTATATCTTAGTCGCCCTATAGTTATCCATTTTAGTTGTTTCAGAAACAAAATATTGGTAGGTTTTACTAAGCTTTAATGAGATGCAAGCTATACGTTATCTTCTGGATTTTGAGAAAAACCCTAACATAAACCAACTTTGTTCGTCGGTAAAATATACTTACACTGTGACAGTTACTTGTGGCTACACATTTGGTTTCCTTATTAGGGGATCGGTGATTGAAATTCGCATGATCTATATGTTCTGTGTATCATAGTTATTGAACTTATTGGAGATAGTATAGACGAGAATACAATGGGTTTGTTCATAGAAAAACAAGTTACAGACTTCAAAAATACTATGAGAGCAACCACTGTAATAATGTTGATCATAGCCAGTCGAAATTTAGGTAACCGAATTAATAGAGAATTCGAATTGAATTATGGACATATCTACAAAACAATTTTTCTAACTTATGCAGTTAAACAAATTATCATTGAATAAGTTCACGACTTTGTGTTTTCACGACATAAATCCTACGGGACATTGAACAAAATATTTGGATAAAGTATCAACAAGTGACTTTTCCTTTAGTATCTCACTCGAAATGTATTTTCATCTGGATCATGAGCTGCATTATTCCTAATTAAACTTTTCCATTTTGTCTTTTTGAGGGAATTTTTGTCATTTTAACTGTTACTACATTATTTTGATTCGTTTGCTGTTTGTCTTGCCAATTTCATTTCATCGTGCTAAAGTGGTATAACATTTTAGACAAATCACATTTGTGTCCAGCTCTACATCAATTTATGGTTGATTGTCATCTTTATGGCTTTTTCTATTTTTAAATCTAAAGTACTCTACTGAGTAAGATCCACAATGTTTCTTATGTTCAATAAATTTGTCGAATCCACTACTTTCAGCCGTTTTCACGTTCATTTAACAATTGAGTTCTGCATACCATACCAAAGCGTAATTCTCATTGAAGATGTCATCCTAATCCCTTATTTTCACCATGCATGTTTTTCATTCAACATGTTTGAAAGTAAAAAAGTTATGGGAAACTAGAAAATACCATTTTTAAACAGTGGAGATAAATTTTCACCTGACCCCTTGAAAATATATTCTTTTTAAATAACTTATGGAGAGATTTTTTTAATAAGTACCCATACATT